AGAGAGAGAGAGATTCTAATTTATTGTAGAAATGACTAATAGATGTTAAACATTCTTGAGATAGCAATCCCCTCTTGAGATTTTTCAAAATAACATGGAGTAAACATGCAGTGATTCCGTGATACATTTAACTAGAAGAGCCATAACACATTGAAAATAGGCTCTTTGCAAAATACAAGGTACCACAACATGATTTCTAGAGTTTTCTTCTCATAACGTACCAAATTAAGAAAAAGAGACATTTTAGAAAAGGTTTCGAAATTATAAAGGCAAAAATCAAGCATGATGTGGGGTTTTCCCTGTGGATCTAATTGCTACGAAAAGTGACTGCAGGTCCCTCCCCTACAACCTCACTGCCCAACATTCACCCAAGTGCCCGTCCCGCTGAAATTCCACTCCCTGCTTGCACCTATGTTCACATTTTACACCTTTTCCCAAGATCTGAAGTTTAGTATTAAGATTGATTAAAAAATTTAGGTCAAATACTAGATAGAACTCTAAAATAAGTTAAATAATTTGATGACAATTAACTTTAGGTAAGTTTTCTCAAGTCGTCACCCCCACAAATTTGAGTGAGTCATCGAGACTTCAATAATCATGTTTAGGTCACATTGGTTGGCCGGCTTAGATTTGCGTCACCAAGACTCGTTCATTTTGACATAAAATAAATGGCTACCAACTCCTTCCTTGACATGCCACCGAGAAATTTTTCTAGGGTCTTCCAATCACCCTCATTTATGCGACAGGTTCTCTTAAAACATTATTGTTTTTGGTGAAGGGATACTGCGATTGTATACTATGAAACCATTTATCTTTAGTACAAGAAGATCATAACTACTCCTAACCATTAGATGTCTAATTAGATAGTTTGAAGTGCTCAACGAAGTTTAAGAATATTTTTTTTAGATTTTAAATCTATTCAAGGCACTCAACTTTACAATTTGAAATCCGACAGATAAGAGCGATTGCAACCTCCTCGTACTTAAAGGAAGAGATGGTCTTTTTGCATATTTTTCCTTGTCATAATGGACTTTGACAAACCCGTGAATCTAATAGTTTGAGACGTGTCACAAAGTTCAACAAATTTCATGTTGACTTTAACATTTATCAATAGGACACCCCTAGTTGCATCATTTTATATATTTTGATTAAAATTAATTATTACCTCCTTGTACCAAAAAGGAAATAATCTCTTTTACGGGATTGTATATAATGAGACCATTTACTTATTATACAAGGAATTAACAAATGCTTATGACCTTATGATGCAAAATTTGATAGCTTGAGTGTTTCACAAAGTTTGATAAAATTTCTTTTGAACTTTGAGCTTAGTCAATAGAATAAATATAACCATTTAATTTAGCATCCAAAGTTCAAGATTAATTGTGACTGCTTTGTTTAAAAGATAAGTGGTCTCATTATATACTTTTCCATATTATATATTCTCTTCTTATAAAAGATTGGATATCGCTGGTTACCCTTAGTACGAGGAGGTCACAATTTACACATAAAATATGAAAATTTGGATGCGGTCAATGTTCCAAAAATTTCACGAACATCACTTTATTTACCTTTTGATCAATTCCAAAACAAAAGGAGATAAACAATTTTGAGGTACTAAAACCATAGATCCAGTCCACAAATGGACGGTTTTTGAGGCGTTGCAGAAATCGAAAATTGCCGTTAGTAAAAACCTTAACTACCATTCTTAAAAGTTTAAACCGGTGTTATCACGACATATAAATAATTAAAAATGGACAAAATTTAAAAAAATTCTATTAAAAAAGGAAAAAAAGAATAAAAGGGTAAAACCATTCAAAACTTGGTTAAAAATAGGAGGTTTTTTTCAAAAATTATTGTAAAAATTCCCACTTGCACAAAAAAAAAAATGTTGGATTTTAAAATTTAGTACATTACATGATTTTAATGCCAAGTTCATCTAACCTATGATATCACTACTAATAAATTATTATTGTCCACACTTCATAATATAGAACAATAAAAGCAATATTTGACCTTTTGAACCAATAGATAAGATAATTTATATTATTTAATACTATCACTCTTCAATCCATTCTAGACTTTTCAATTTCATGTTCTTCTAAGGAACATTGGATTTGGTATTGTACATCGGCAGGTTCACTCTTACATTGAGCAACATCACTAAGTTCATAAGTAAGGTGCTCATTAACTCGGTGGATTCCTCCACTTCTAAATATCTCTGCACTTCAACTTGATAAGGTATTAACCAGTTCCTTTTTTCAGTACCTCTATCAAATTGAATTGCGTCAATGAAACAGGAACCAGGTGCAACTTCTCCCATCAAAGAGATAAAAATGAGTGGTTCCACAGTGAGGGAAAGAATTATAAATAAAAAGAAAAATGCAGTAAAAAAAATCAAGAAAGTAAGCAAGCAAACATTTATTTTTAAATATTTAGGGTGACATTCTTTGCCAAAATCTTGAGAATTTTTGGATTAAAGATTTAGAAATAAAATATTGGTATCAAAATGGAAAAGATAAAAAAAAAAAAAGGAAAAAATAAGGCAAACAAAGAAGAAGCATGAGAGGTGGGGGAAATATTAAGTAGGTTCATCCAAGAGAACTGGCAAAACATATGGTCAAATATGTTCAACTTGTCGGCCACCAGGTTTTTCTGGCTCTCAACAAATACTTGTTTTGCTTCCATGTCGGATTGAACCTTGTCTGGTCATCAATTCTAGCGGTTGGAGCACAGGTCCGGTCCGATCTTAATAAATTTTGTTCGAACACCACCTAAACGTTTTTCTAAACTAAATGCCTATTAATACTGGTTTTACTTCCATGTCGGACTGGACTGCGTTTGGTCACCAATTCTAGCGGTTGGAGCACTGGTCCAATCCAATCTTCATAACTTCGGTTCAAACACCATTCTTAAAGGTTTTTCTAAATTAAATGCCTATCATCATCATCATCGTTGTTGTTGTTATTATTATTATTATTTTTATTATTATTATCATTATTATTATTATTATTATTGGATTAGTTCTATACATCTCTTTTTTAGTACCGACCCTAAATAGACCATTCATCTGATGGAATCGGCACATTTATATTCCTGTAGATAATAATATTGAGAGGTTATGTCCTATTAGACCGTATAACCACAATCGCTCGTAGGCCATCAGGTGTGATATCAAGCGGCTACAAGTATTTCACAAGTTTGATAATGTTTATTTTAGACTTTGAGAGTATTTATTTTGGACTTTGAGCGCAATCGATAAGATTACCCGATTGTCAGATTTGAAATCTAGTAGCTCGAGGTGATTGTAACTCGACTGCTTGATTTCAAATCCTACGAATAGATGTGATTGTGACCTTCTTTTTGATCTACTGATGTTTCACAAATTTCGATATTGTTCTATTTGGACTTTGACGGCAGACAATAAGATACCCCGGCCGGCTGATTTCAAACTTAGTAGCCAGAGGTGATTGTAATTTGACTATCTAATTTCAAATCCAACAACTAGACGTGATTGTGACTTTCTTATACAAAAAGTAAATAGTCTTAGGTAAAAAGGCTGCATCATGGTGGTAGCACCCCATACCTAGTTACAATCCCACTGGCACCACGTACCAAAATCTTCAAAAAGCCTAACTCCTAATCTATTTTAAAGAAACAGTTAGGACCTATCATCCCCAATGAATTAACCAAAATCAAAGAAGCCAATAGTCTTCTTTCTACTTTTCCAATAATTTGCAATACAACCAAAACACCCACCCAAGGGAAAAAAAAAAAAAACTAACTATATAAGTATACTCAAGAAGACTACTATAGCTATTTATGTTTGTGTTTGTGCAGGTTAGGACCACCTATCTGACCACTGTTCTCTGCCTTTGTTGCTATAACCAGTTCCTTGTACTTTGGAAGAAGCAAGGGGAAGCTTTAAGATGCATGATACAAAGATGGTGGGCAGAGCAACCTTTCTTGTTTTCATGGCGTTTGCTTTTGTTCCTAGCCTTGCTACGGTTTATGACGTTGGGGGGTCTGGAGGTTGGGACCTTGATGTCAATTACACCACTTGGGCTTCTACAGAGAGTTTATTTGTTGGTGACGAGCTCCGTAAGTTCTTCATCAGATCATCTACATTTATATTTGTTTTTTCCAGTTAGCACTAAGTAAAGAAACATTTATTGTTCTATAGAATTTGTAGATGGCAGATTTTTCGAGATTACCGCTTTTCGAAGAAGATTTCAAGATGATGAATAAAATCCCAAATTTTTTGAAAGGATCCAAAGGTTAGTAGAAAGATAAAGAATATTGATTTCCTTGGGCTCAGAAAATTTGTTAAGTTCAGGAAGCTCGTAATTTTGATTGAAATTATTCTCACAAATTTTATCTTCTTTAAATTAATCCTTTTGCCACTTATGTATTCCTGTATTTTCATTTCATCATATGGTTATCTCTATGTATTTATAGAAATAACTGGGAATTTATCAAACTGGACCTAAGGTTTTAACCTTTGAAAATCCTAGCGTGTTTTTCTGATCCACATCATACTTTCCATCAAATCTCAAACAGCCCATCAAATGAAACTCCAAAATAAGTTTTGAAATTTTATCAAATTACACCTAGGGTATAATATTAAATAATTTCACATTTATTTGTATTCCGAAAAATTTTCCTAAAAATAAAAAAAAATGAGAGGAAGAAAGAAAATCATGATACAAACAAAACATCTTTTTCGGGTCTATATGGATATAGCTTGACTCGATAGAAGAACGCTTCCACTTTTGCAGTTTAAATTTATTTATTCGGTGAACTCGAAGAAATATAAATACTTACGGGAATTGAGGTGAAATTTTCATTGGACTTTCTGGCTACCCATTCCGGCCCTTTGAAGCAAAATGGGAAATACCATACCCAGAGGCCATCCACCGTCCGTTTTTTAAAGAAATGACGATGGTGGAGATTAACCGTTGCATTATTAATCTGGTGGACTACTGTGTTATACTATGCCCACCAAGTAGAATAGTACGCTTGTCCAAAACTTAAGGTAGAGAAAGGGCAGAACGTCGAAATTTGTCAAAGATCCCATCTTATTCTAACCATGTAGGAATCTCTCTCTCTCCCAAGTCAATGTTTATGCATATGCACATGCTATTACAAGTGAGAACTAAAAGATACTTATAAATAAAAAAAATTACATGCCATAATTAAGGGGGATGTAGACTCGGCCGAATCACTCGGACCTAGTAGAGTATTGGGTCCAGATGACCAGCTTGGAAAACTAAGCGAGTCAGACCCGATTGAAGAATTTTTTTTAGAATCATATCATTCAAGGGGTCAATCTCTTGTAAAATCATTAAGAGGCCAAAAGATCCCAATGAATATTATAATGCTTAAGGTTTAATTGTCATTTGACTCAGGTACTTCTTCTGAAAATATCTTAAAGAGTATTTGATTTGTGCTTGTTCAAGGTTGCAAACCTTGAACATGCAAGAACATTTTAGAAATTTGACCCATCATAAACAAGTTGGCATACTCCTATCATTTGGTTGGGAGGTCTCTTAGGGTCAAATTATTGAAATACTTTCGCTTGTGAGGTTCCCAGTCTTGAATAAGGGCAACTTAGGTGTTTTTGAGAATATGTTTTTTGAGGATATGAGAATAAAAAAAGTAATCTCTTAATATCAATTGAAGTAAACTTTACAATAACTGAGCAGCTATAATGAATAGTAATGTAGGTAGAATGAGAGCCGTCAAATCTTCATTATGTAGTTCAAAATACATATCACTATATGAATTTTAATATTTTTTTTAAAAATCCGATCATAATGAAATTTTAGAGTGTGCACAATTAAAAAAATATAAAAATATTTTCAAAAACATAAAATAACCAAAATACCCCTGAAAATGATGGGGGTAATTTGGCTATTTTAAATTATTAAAATAAATTTTTTTATATTTTTATATGATGTGAAATAGTGTTAGGTATATACAACCAAAATTTCATCTTAATCAGATTTATAGAAAAATAATTAAAATTAAATAGTGATATGTATTTTAAACCACTAGATGAAGATCTGACAGTTGAGATTCCACCTATATTATTATTCATTATAGCTGCCCAGCTGTTGTTAGCTTTTTCTTTCTATAAAAACTCTGCCTACTCGGACAATCCAACTCTGGGCACTCTAATTTGATTGTCTTTCTTCTTAAAATTAATATCCTCTTTACATGAAATTCAGGTTTTAAGTACAACGCATCGAAACATAATGTAGAGGTTGTCAATCGAGAAGATTATGATGCATGCACAAATAAGAGCGTAATTAGCAGCTTTAAGAATGGTGACACACTCGTTACTCTTAACACTACGGGCTTACACTACTTCTTGTGCTCGATTGAGCGCCATTGTGCAAATGGGTTGAAGCTGGAGGTCAAGGTCTCTTCCCAAACCATAGCACCCTTTGGTGCGCCGACATCGACACCAGTTCCGCCTTCTCATAGTAGTACTACTGCTTTGTTTCCTCGCTTCAATGCCCGTGTGCTTGGGGCCATGGCACTCGGTCTTTTCGCATCACTTGCAACATGAATCAGTCTCTCTCACACACACATGCACGCTTTCTACATGCGCAGGGAAGAGGCAGTGCGATTTCTTTCTCTCTCTCTTTAGGCTCGTCTGTCTGTGTTGCTTGTTTTCATTGTATGGAATTCTAATTCCTGTCTGTTGATTCGGTGTCATTTGTTAGTTACGGAGTCTATTGAAGTAATGTGTCATTTGTTACAACTGAGACTATAGGAATAATGTGTCCGTTGGGTGCTTTTGTATATTGTTATTTATATACCATTTGTTCTATTGAATAACTATTTCTTGTATCTAATAAGTTATATTGAAAAAAAGGACGAGCCATCCAGATTAGTTAAAAGAAAGAAAAATAGACAGGAGTTGGTACATACTTCACGACTTCTATGTCTTATTGACGTTTATGTTTATCAACTATCAATCGACAGAACCAATGCTTGCTTTGGAACTTTTTAATTTTTTTTTTTTTTTAACAAGAGTAACAAATATTATTAGAAGTAAAAGAGATTACAACAAAAATTACAATAACAAAGAAGATAAAGATAAAGAGGCCATCAGAACTCCTTTCTTGGGTAAATCATCGGCGATAGAGTTCGCTTCCCTATAAACGTGATGAAAGGTTAAAAGCCGTCAAGGAGGTATTGACAAATTTTTATACCAATTAATGACATTGTGAGAGTCTCCCTCAATGATCAGATTTTGTTCCATACCTCTCTCCCTATAGATCCGCAATCCTTGTAGCAAAGATTCAAATTCCGCATGATTAGCAGTAGCCACCTCACAAGGCCCAGCATAACAAAAAAGTTATTTGAACTTCATGATTGCGACATATACCCCCAACTCTTGAAAGCCCCGGATTTCTAAAAGAAGAGCCATTAAACTTTAATTTCATGCATCCCATTGCTGGTGGGTTCTAATTACACCGTTGTCTCTTCTTAAGAGTTTTTTACATGACCAAATTGGTCACGTGTAGTTCAACATCGTTCCTTGAAATCCCCCAAGCTTTCTTTGTCATACTAAACCAATTCCACATAGAAAAATTAATTTTGTTTTGGAATTCAGCCAACCCAATAGCCACATCATCAAGGGAACTTTTAAAATTGATCATGGGAAATAATGCATGCGATGGTATAGGGGTCAGAACTTAGTAATTTGGGAAGCCAAGTCTATATAATCATTATCGGAGTCTTTTCCCAACTATTTGGGGTCGGCTACACGAATTCGTGATTTGCCATTCTGCTCTATCAAGATCCATATATTTAGTGAGGCAATAGGCATCTAACCTAGATTCAAGATTCATGAAAAGTTTTGATAAAATTTTATGGTGGCTGCCTATCTAATAAAACCCACCTCCTTTACCCGGGCTTGGGATGGTTTTAAGAAAAATTTAAGGTCCTCATCCTTCTTAGACCTAAACCCAGTTGATATAAAGTATGCAAAGGAAATATCATACAATAAGACTATTTATTTTGTTCAAGGTCATAGTTATCCATGGTTATTGGAAATGGAGTTGCTAGTGGTGTCCTATTGACCAGGTTTTAAGTTTAATAGATTTTTTTTTGAAATTTATTGTACATTTTAAATTCTTGAATTTCATATGTTGTAGCTAAAAGTGATTGTGATCTCCTGATAACAAACATATATAATCTGGTAGTCGACAATCTCATATATATATATATATATATATATATATGGTTATAGCATTTTACATCGTATTTGGAAAGAAATTAGGACTATTTTCTTTACCTATTCTAACCCACCATTATTGTAAATAGACTACACCAATCATAAGATATTACGAATTATTTACTTTTAACATACGTGCAGTGTTCAACACAAATTCCCACCTAAGAGAATTTGTTGAAAATAAAGTTCTATGAAATATCTTGGAATCACAAGATGAATAATTGTCGAAAAGAGAAAACAAAAAGAAAGAAATTGAGTTCCTAAGCACTGGGATCTCACGATCCAAGACAAATCATTTGTGTTCATCGTAGGGATGAGAATTTTCTTAAGCAGTTTGCAAGTGGGATTTCAACCCCTATTTCTTTTAGGTTGGTCGCTTGGATGAGCAAATTACGTTACCACAAATTGGGAGTCCAAAGAGTTACTCTTAAATTAGTTGGCGCCTAAGGGAGCGCTGCAAATTATTAGAATATCAAGTTTATCGGAAGAGACTCTCTATGTCCATTAATAAATAAAAATATACATGGTTATCTTACATAAACAAATACACACGACTATAATAGAAATAAGGGCAAGCTTTCTATGTTTCGCCTACAATATAAAACTTATATACTTCTCCTTATGCAACCGTCCATTCTGAATGGAGGGTTAAGTTTGCCCCAATCATAATATCACGTCTTTACACTATTTTAATTTTAAATTTTTTTCTATAAACTATTTTGACATTAAATTTTGTACGTCCAATCCTCTATTAAACTTGCACTAGCGAAATATATATATAAAAAATATTTCTCATAAAATAAAATGACCAAAATACCCATGAAAGTTTTAAGGGTATTTTAGTCCTTATATTTTATCGAAAAAATAGTTTTAATATTTTTTAAAGGTGCGCCCAAATGAGAAGATGGAACGTACCAAATTCCATATTCATATAATCTGTACAAAAAGACTAAAAATAAAATACTTTTAGACGTCGGATCCAAGATCAAACAGTGAGTGGCTCTCTTGATCAAAATTGGACGGCTGGATGGTAGAGGAAGCATAGATCTTATATGCTATAGGGGAAGTATAGAAACCTTTCCCTAGAAACATACCATAGCATACAATGTAATGTACAAACACATTGATTACGATATACACCTTCCATATTAAACCAGTAGAATTAATTATGCTATACACCTTCTATATTCAACCAGTAGATTATAGAGAAAATGTCTTGGTAAAACTTATTTCTAAAGTTCATTTCTCTATAGACCAAAGGTTTCAAAATCTATATATTTTAATACAGATTCTATTTATTATATCTTCTAATCTCTATGCCAACTTTACCTTTTTTACCCCATCTTTTTTGCCCAAATAAATTTAAAAAAGACATCATTTTCTAAACCCTTCTCTTCACATGTTTGTTTCTCCTTGTGAATCTCCCAAACCCCTCTATTTCTCCCCGTATTTCCCCCAACTCTTTCTCTCTCCCCCATGTCTATCCCAAATTTTAGGTTTGGGAGATTCACAGGGAGAAAGAAAAAGAGAAACACATGAAGAGAAAGGGGGTTTAGAAATGATGTTTTTTTTAAAAAAAATTGGGCTAAGGGGTAAAAATGGGTAAAGCTGGTTTAGAGATAAAATATAATAGATAGAATCTCTATACCTCAAGATAAGTTTTGGAACCTTGAGTCTATTGAGAAATAAAATATAAAAAAGGTTTATGAAGACATTTTCCCTAGAATATATATATTTTCCTTAACACTCCCCCTTAAACTTAAGATCTTTGCGAGAGAGCAACTAGAATTTGGACAACAATTATCAAAATTGAGTAGTGGACTTTCAGATGTAAAGCTCTGTATTGCTTAATCAACTAGCACAATTGGATCTTAGATTTGAAGCTCAGAACGATAAGATCCAAGACAGGCTCGTCCAATGGCAGAGCAGCACACCTTAAAAAAAAAAAAAGAATTTCAAGTCCTAAGAATAATGCATCTTGTAACTGTTGCGTTTATGTGGCCTTTAAAAGCCTAATGAGTGTGTATTTCAATACTTTCATTATAGTGAAACAAAAACTCAGTGGGAGTGGTTCATCGAGGACCATACTAAGCAAATGATGTTTGCTTATATTGGATTGTGCTTATCGATCTAGACTAGACGGATGGAAAACCCAAGGTACCTAGACATAAAGAATTAACCGAAGAGGGTTTTGGGTTAGCCCTTGATGAGGTCAAAGCTTATGCTTAGATGAGAGAGTCGAGCGACTGTGTGACTCTTGTGTGTGATGGTAGGCCTACTGAGACAGGGGCCAAAACCTCATCCATGTTTCATCACACGGCATGCATATTGATAGATCATTCAGGAAAGACAGATATCCACCTTTGCGTGAAGCGTATGCATGTGCGAGAGATACCCCTATGCACTATAGAGCTGTGGAAGCATCAGGTTGTGGTGACCTTGAATCATCTGTAGGGGAGGACCTGTAATCCACAAACTGGGATTGCGACCCCTTGGATTATCAACTAGACTTTGGTGACCTGCTAATGAGCCCCTGCTTGGACTGTGGGTCATGAAAAATATTGGGTCAGTTTTATAAAGCAAGTGTGGTCTG